ACTTGCGTTATCGAGAGTGTTCTCTGTCTAATTGAGGGGTGGTCGACTCCGTACCCTAACAAGGCAAATATTCTTAAATGGTATGTAAATCATAAGAGATGAAACCCCATTAAATTAAATATCAAAATTTAAACTTCTGCTCTTTAGAAGTCACTATTATAAAATTAAAAGGCTGCCATTTAGGGGCGCCTGGGTGGCTCAGTGGGTTAAGCCTCTGCCTTCGGCTCAGGTCATGATCTCAAGGTCTGGGATTGAGCCCCGCATCGGGCTCTCTGCTCAGCAGTGAGCCTGCTTCCTCCTCTCTCTGCCTGCCTCTCTGCCTACTTGTGATCTCTCTCTCTCTCTGTCAAATAAATAAAATCTTTAAAAAAATAAATAAATAAAAGGCTGCCATTTAGAATATTTATTTCAGCTGAAAAACTAGTATCCAAGAATATATACAATCTTCCATAACTAAAAATTAAGGAAGCAAACAACCTAATTAAAAATGTCCAAAAAGACAACCAAGGGATATCATAAGGGCTATTTTTATATGTGTAAACTATTTTCATCTTGAATATATTTTTACAGTGATATAATTGTTTTAGATGTTGATTCTGGAATTAGTTATATAATCATACGCTTTTGTCAAAATTCTTTGAACTTGGGGCAGCTGGGTGACTCAGTTGGTTAAGGGACTGCCTTCAGCTCAGGTCATGGCCCTGTCAGGCTCCCAGCTCAGCTCAGTGCGGAGTTTGCTTTTCCCTCTCCTTCTCCCCTCTATGCCTCCCCCAAGATCATTCACTCTCCCTTTCTCTCTCAAATAAAAAAACACAATCTTTTAAAAAATTCATTGAACTTGTAACAGAGCAAGTAAATTTTACTGTATTTAAACTGGCCAAAACATTTGAATAGGTACTTCCAAAAAATACATATGTAAGCCATAACAAAAAGATGTTCACCATCATTACAATTAGGAAAATGTAAATTAAAATTACTATATACCCACTATAGTGGTTAAAATTATACATTTACCACAAGACACGGTAGTTCAGCTCAGAGAGAGAAATAAAAACCTACCTTTATGGAAACTCCTATACATAAATAAGTTGTCTATGGGTTAGTGAATGGATAAACAAATCATGGTATATCCCTATAATGGAATTCAAATTAGGAATTAAAAATAACAGTATATAACTTACATATGCATATCCACTAAAATATTATTCTAACAAAAGCCAGAAGCAAAAGGGTCCATAATGTAACATTTCATTTGTATGAAAGGGAAAAAATTAATGTATAGTGATACAAAGCAGGTTGGTGATTGCTAGCAGGCCAGTGGTGGACAAGCAGGGTAAAAAGTGGTGCTTGGGGTACACTGGCAGCAAGAGGGCACAGGAAAATTTTCTGAGGTGACAAAAATAGTCTATATCCTGATTGGGGTGGTGGTTATAGTGGAGTCACTTTTGTCAAAACTCATTAAACTGTATACTTAAAACAAATTATTGTATGTGTATTATATACCTTAATGATGATTAAAATAACATTTGGGGTTTGTTTGTTTTTTTTTTTTTTTGGATGTTTTATATGTTTAGATAAAATATCTGTATAAATATACAATAGTTGCAAAAAACCAAAATGATATTTTAACCAATATTACTAAGGTATGTAAAACACCTTTCTAACCCAGGAAATGATATATAATTCTTTACAGTTGATAACATTCAACATTCACTTCTAAGATGGTTCATTTAATATTCAGTATTTCCATAATGGAAATTTTGAACAACTTCATGTTTTAGATACTAATTTTTTCTTTCTCTCTGCTTCTCTGGCAAAGTGAACTCTGGAGGAAGTTTAATCAAAGTATCTACTGGAGGGGCTCCATGAATAGCTTACCTCCCCCACCCCTCCCATGAAAGTGTGACTGAGTTTGAGCCTTTAAACCCTTCACTGGGTGAAATATCACAAACAAGTTCTGTCATTAAAAAAAATTTCATGTTCACTGGATAAAGTGGGATATGGAGAGTTTTTCATGTATGAATACTATTGTCTTTTAAAAAAAATTCAGCTACAAAGACCTCTAAAGTACCCAGGAAATCCTGTTGGAGAGCCTTGTTTTGAGCAGTAGACCCAGAGCTCTTTTCTCCACCTTTTACCTATTGAGTAGAAGGCCTATTGAAACTGGATAATGACAGTCAGTACTTCCTGACAACTAAAAGGCAGTGAGATAAAAGGGGAATGACAATGGGATAGGGTGACTTGCAGTCCCACATTTACTTGTCAAAGAGTGTTTGAGATAGGTTTGTGTAAGATTCAGCTTGCTGAGCACCAAGCCTGAGGCTGGGCTCAATCGCATTCCCTGAGATCCTGACCCGAGCCAAAATCAAGAGTCTGACGCTTAACCACCTGAGCCACCCAGGTGCCCCTATGGGTGATTTTACATCATGAATATAAATGTAGATGTTAACACCTATCTGAGGGGAAAAAAAAAAAAGAAGAAACCAAACAAATAAGCGTAGGTGCCTCAAAGAACAAAAATTAGGCTGGTCTTGCTTGTGGGGAAAAATGTGGACGTCTTTAATCCCATGTAAATTCATTCAGCTCCTATTCTGTTTGAAGAAATATAAGGGATTTTAAAGATAGGCAAAACCTTGCATCAGTGGTAGATGCCACTGAACAAAAACATCAAAATGCACAAACTTTGGGGAATTTTTGCTCCATGTAGTGCAGATTCATTAAGATTAAACAATTTATTTAAAAAAATTGTCAAAAAAAATTTGTCAGGGAGTGTACCTAGGCTTTTAGGAAAAAAAAAAAAAAAAAAAATCAAAGGGTATTTTACACCAGACAGACTCTGAGGATTTGGAGGGATGAGTGCTAAGGATGGAGAAATGGTTGAGAAAGCAGCAGATAACTTGCCATAATTTGGCAGAATTAAAAGGGAATAGTGGTGGGTCATAAGAGCTCAGAAAACTGTAAATATTGCAGGTTGGCCATAAGGATGTCATTTCCAAGTGAGCAGGTGCTGGTAGTCTCTGATGCAATACAAAGTCCCACTGAGCAGTAAGCCCTTCACAGGGCCATTTTATGGAGTGGTAGCTTTGGGGTTGGGTTTCTTCAGGGCCGATTAGTGTCACTCTTCACACGCACAATGCTTAACAACTTAAAGGAGGCCAAAGAAGTGCTGGGCCACAGAACTGCTTCCGGCTTGCAGAAGCACAGCATGTTTTTTTGATAGTGAGTCCTGTCTCTTAACCCATTTTTATGCACGAAACAAGCCCCATTCCTTTGGCAGCAAAAAGAAGCAAGATAAATAATTAAGGGAGTATGAAGTCATCATTCATATCACATTAAAAAAGAATAACTCTGAGAGAGAGCTCTACTTTTGTCACAGTACTGGAATTTCCTCCCAGGTAATCAGAGCTCCCAGATGAAAAAGCAGAGTAAACCTGATGCATGTAACATTTAGTGTATTTACATTGAATCAACAAGCCACCTGGATACACAGAAGTACCCATTAGCCTTAAGTCCAGGAATAACAATGCTGTATATATATTCTTTCAGTTTTTAATTTACCTCCCATGACTATTCTGTTTGTGTAAACCTGAAATCCTTTCCAAGGTAAAGCTACTAAAAAGCATCTCTACTGCTGAATTAACAAGAAACACAAACCATGGGGGAAAATGTTGATAAAAATCTAATCCATTAAAACTTGAAACTGCAGTAATAAAAAAGATGTCATAAAAAAGATTAAAAGATAATCAGAAAAGGATTTGTGTTGGGTCGATGGCTCAGGGAATGCAGGAGGAACAATAGAAATGACTGCTGGGGCCGCCATCTTCCAGCCCCCTCTCCCCTCCTTCCTCAACCCTTGACTCTCCCACCAAAAGGATGTATGCCCAGGTCATGTCTCCATAGGTAACCCTATACCTATGCAGGAAACAGAAGTATCAGGAACCCCCTACCCCATACCAAATACCCTACCATATATGGATGTGAGCCTATGCCCTGCCTTGGCCCAATAAAAGACCCCCACCGACTCCCTCCCAGTGCGACTTCCCCGACTCTGCTTTCCAGAGTTGCGGAACCTCGCCCGAGGGTGCCCACCCCCTCCCGGTGTGACTTTCCTGGCTCCCCTTCTCCTGAGCCCTGAAACTTCCCAGAGAGTGCCTTTAATAAATCTTGCCTTGTGCCTACCTCACCTGGTGTTGTGTTTATCTCGCCTATAAAACCTTACAATTTGGGGCACCTGGGTGGCTCAGTGGGTTAAGCCTCTGCCTTCCACTCAGGTCATGATCTCAGGGTCCTAGAATCGAGCCCCGAATCAGGCTCTCTGCTCATCAGGGAGGCTGCTTCCCCCTCTCTTCTCTGCCTGCCTCTCTGCCTACTTGTGAGCTAGCTCATGCTCATTCTCTCTCTCTCTCTGTCAAATAAATAAAATCTTTAAAAAAAAAAAACCTTACAATTTGTATATAGATTTTTTTTATTTGTACAGTATGTATACTTTGGTCTCAAAGTTATAAATAAAACATATAGGGAATTAATTACCATGAAAATCAATTTTGTAACAATTCTCCCATTCCTTTAAGCTTTTGTTCAAATCCCAATTAGTTAAAAGATAATGTAATATTGGTTTCAGGATTTAATGATTCTTCACTTACATATAACACCCGTGCCCATCATAAGTGCCCTCCTTAATACCCATCACCCACTTAACCCATCCCCCCATTTCCTCCCTCCACCAACCCTCAGTCTGTTCTCTATAATTAGGAGTTTCTTGTGGTTTGCTTCCCTCTCTCTTTTTTTCCCATATGTTCATCTGTTTTGATTATTAAATTATACCTATGAGTGAAACCAAATGGTATATCTTTCCCTGACTTTTATCACTTAGCATAATATACTCTAGTTCCATCCACATCATGGCAAATGGCAAGATTGCATTCTTTTTAATGGCTGAGTAATATTCCATCGTGTGTGTGTGTGTGTGTGTGTTTATTTATAATTATATTTATAATTGATTTAGATGCATGCAATCAAGATGATGGGATGAGCGCAGTGAGACCAGTCATAGCAAAAAGGATACAAAAGTATAGTGAAGGCGAAATTCGATTTAACTTAATGGCCATTGTATCTGACAGAAAAATGATATATGAACAGAAGATAGCAGAGTTACAAAGACAGCTTGCTGAGGAACCCATGGATACAGACCAGAGTAATAATATGTTAAGTGCTATTCAGTCAGAGGTTGCCAAAAACGGGATGCTTATTGAAGAAGTACAGAAACTAAAAAGATACAAGATTGAAAATATCAGAAGGAAGCATAATTACCAGCCTTTCATTATGGAATTATTAAAGACTTTAGCAGAACACCAACAGTTAATACCACTAGTAGAAAAGGCAAAAGAAAAACAGAATGCAAAGAAAGCACAGGAAACCAAATGAAGAAGATGCGTTGGGATGTATACATATTTCTGCTTCTGCACTTATTTTCATGGAAACCATTAAGTATAAAGAACTTTGAGCAACATCCTAATTGACTCAGTGCATGTTTGGCAATAGTACCAGTCTGTCTTGTCTTTAATGCATGGATTCTTTCCCAACCTGCATCATGTGCATGTAGTGCATATTAAATAAAAGTGATATTAAGAGTGATATATATATATATATATATATATATATATATATATATATATATGCACACACACGCATACACACTACTTCTTTATCAATTCAGCAGTTGATGGATGTTTGAGCTCTTTCCATTATTTGGCTATCCTTGATAGTGCTGCTATAAACATGGGGGTGTGCACCTTTGAACCTGTAATTTTGTATCTTTCGGGTAAATGGGTCATAGGGTAATTCTATTTCTAACTTTTTGAGGAATCTCCACACTGTCTTCCAGAGTGGCTGCACTAGATTGCATTCCCAGGAAGAGTGTGAGAGGGTTCCCCTCTCTCCACATCTTTGCCAACATGTGTTGCCTCCTGTGCTGCTAATTTAAGCCATTCTGACTAGTGGGAGGTAGTATTTCATCGTGGTTTTGATTTGTATTTCCCTGATGATCTGTAATGTTGAGCCATCTGTATGTCTTCTTTGGAAGAATGTCTGTTCATGTCTTCTGCCCACTGAAATGTACATAGAATTTTAACTCCTCTAAGTAATGAACAAGAGGGCCTAATATTCCCCTCATTTCAACTAAACTTGTGATTGGTTTCTTCCTGATTGTAGGCCCCTGGCCTCTTTTCTTCTTAGAACATTACTTTAGAAAACTTGCCGTTATAAATTCTTTCTCAGAATTTTGAGATATAAATCTTCCCCACCCTGTTCCAGTTCTAGAACCAAGGGATGTCTTTCTCAAAGACAGAGACATCCCCTTGAAATGTAATCATCCAAGGAAAGAGCACCTCCTCTATTTCCCAGTTCCTATGGGAAGGTAGGAACCTGACTTCCCTTAGCTCCAGTTAGTAAACACTGATGCCCTAAGTACATTGATCAACCCCCCTATCATGTCCTTTAGTATTTTTCCACTAACTCATCCCAAGGCTTAAAAACTTGCCTATTTTGTTCCAGTGGGGTTAAAATCAACCTCTTTCCCCTAATGCAATACTCATGCAAAAAGTCTTCCTTGCTAGCTTATGTTGTCCAGTGAAATTTCTCTTTTATAAACCAATATAAAAAAGAATAAACATGCACTAGGAAATGGTCAAATGATTTCTTCCAGAGAGAGTGTGTATTGCTAATAAGTATATGAAATGATGCTCAGTTTCACTAGAGAAATGCAAATTAAAATATCAGTGGCATAGAATTTAACAACTATCAGATTAGCAAAATTTACAAAGCCTAAGCATATAAAGAATACACACAGATGATTTTAGGATAAGCAGATACAATTACTTTAAGAGTAATTTGACAATATTAAATTTAGGTGGAAAAGCCCACATTCAATGGCCCAGCAATTTTACCACAGGTATGGATGCTAGAAAAATTTCCCGCAAGTGAAATGTGGACAAGAAGAAATGTACAAGGAAATTTACTGAGGTATTCTTGATAATAGCCAAAAGTAGAAAAAAACCTAAATTCCCCTTAAAAGAATAATGGATTCCAGATATTCATAGGTTTGAATATTATACTGTAGTTAAATCAACTACATTTACTAATATAAGGAGTTTGTAAATCATATGAATTGAAAAAATTAAGGATTGTTGTATGATAATAAATAAATGAATTTTTAAAATCTGCCAAGCAATATATTCACAGATATACACATATAATGTGAAACACTAAAAAGCATTTCTGAAAATCACAAACAATATATTTAGAGCAAGAAATAAGAGATTTTAATGATTCTATGTAAATAAATGAAGACAAACAATGACCTTGCTATAGAAAGGAGGTCAGTCGCCATCAGTTGTATTTAGCAAAGACTCAAAGGAAGACAGAGGAGTGGGAAGATTCACCGTTATAAAAAGAGAACAAGAGAGACGGAGGGAGAAAGCTTCAGGAATGTTCTGATTGGAAACTGTTGGCATGGGGAAACTGGAGCCAGGTAACTAAAATTAACATCCATGTCATTGGTCAGGGGAGCATAATTGTTTTTTTCCAGTTGGTCCTAAATCTAAGGTATGGGCAAAACTTAGGGGAGCTATCAGTTATTCATCAAGTCTTGGCCACTTGGGAGCACTCATTATAAGATTGTTCGGCTTCCTGGACTGGCCACTACACACAGTGGTTCAGCTTTGTGGCCTGGCTGCTGAAGGTTGTGGGTCAGAGTTCTGTTTTCATATATGGCCTGACCACTGCCCATTTGTCTGTTCAGTCCATCAGTCTAAAAAGTTTATTCATTAAGGAATACTTAACACTATTCACTTAAGACGACATGTCACTTCAAGTGATAAAAAGCATGACTTTATATTAATAGAATAAAATCTAAATTAAGATATAACTGTATGTGGGGCCCCTGGGTGGCTCAATGGGTTAAGCCTCTGCCTTTGGTCAGGTCATGTTCTCAGGGTCCTGGGATAGAATCCGGCATGGGCTCTCTCCTTGGCAGGGAGCCTGCTTCCTCCTCTCTTTCTGCCTGCCTCTCTGCCTACTTGTGATCTCTCTGTGTCAAACAAATAAATAAAATATTAAAAAATATATATATAACTGTATGCATTTTGTTATTTTTTAGCATTTGCTAAAGGTTACCACTTATCTGCATGTATATATAAGCACGATTTCTAAGCTATAACCATACACGGGTTTCCAAAATTCCGATTCTTTTTTTTTTTTTTTCAAAGATTTTATTCATTTACTTGACAGACAGAGATCACAAGTAGGCAGAGAAGCAGACAGATAGAGAGAGGTGGAAGCAGGCTCCCTGCAGAGCACAGAGCCGGATGTGGGGCTCGATCCCAGGACACTAGGACCATGACCCGAGCCGAAGGCAGAGGCTTTAACCCACTGAGCCACCCAGGTGCCCCCAAAATTCCGATTCTTAAAACATACAGCTCAAGATATTTTTGACACTCATAATGCACATGCAATATGATTGAACATAAAGTTTTATTAATATATATTTTCATCCCTGAGCATTGTAATTCAGGCTGGAAAATGCAATATATTTTTTAATATATAAATTTTTTATATATAAAAAAAGATAATATAATATAATAATATAATACATTGGTATTATATTTCTCAAACATTGTTTTCTCTTTTCCTTTTACCTTCAATATTTCAATTTATGGGACAAAAAATCTATGATATTAGATATTATGAATCGCTGTTTGACAAATGATCATTTCTCCCTCAGCTACTATACTATAGGTGGTGATATACTTTTGTTGATACAAAAGTAGTAACTTTTGTTAGAAGAGAAACAGAAAATTCTGGTGTAATAAAATGCCATTTTTTAGGGGCCAAAGCTATCTATTTGTAAAATGGGATGCTCCTTGAAATAACTCCTATTATTATCAAGCTAAAAAATAAGTATGACTTCATATCTGATAAAGTATTGTTGCCCATTTTGATTTCTTTCTTGATTTCATTTTGATGTTTCCAACTTTCCTTAGAGCACAAATGGCAGGGGTTGTTACTGAGGAAATCGCTAGTTTATAGAGGAACTGACTGATTTGAGGAGGAGTCATAAGAATTTACTAATGACTGGCGCTTTTTTTTTCTTCGAATATATGTCAGAGGTTCGGAATGATTAAAAAGATAACTGTGGATGATTGCTATTAGCTTTTTTTGAAATATGTGTTGGTCCCATTTTTTGGGAGACAGTACTCATCCAAATGGTATTAACAGAGATTGAAAATTAGTTCCTTCCCCCTCACTCAGCTTCAAAATCAGGTCAGGTTGTTCTGTAAATGAAAACCCAACTGAAGCTGTTTCTCTTATCCTCTTTTTTGACTAAATCAGGATTCTAGACTTCAAAGCTAAAAATGTAGTCTTTTTCAAAAGAAGCAATACAATCAGTGCAGACAAAAGTAAAACTCACAGATCAGCCTCTTCAAACTTTGAAACTAAGATGAAAAGACCCATTTTAAATTCCATGGACAGTGAAATGTCATACTAATCATGAAACTGACCCATAGGTATGGTTTTCTTTGACAGTTTTATTTTAAGAGCAGTGGGCTTAATCATGCAATCCTTAAACTGAGATAAATTAAATGAGTCTTACTTTAATAAAGGTTGTAGATAGTTTCTATAGGTCCATTCAGAAGTTGCAAAACATCACGAATATGCATCCTTTCTGTGTCATATTTGCCCAGTAAAAATCTCCTAAAATCTGTTTTAAAGGAAAATTTACAACCCTGTGCATCATTGCTGAGTGCCAGGCTTGTAAATCTAGAGACTGACCACATTTCTGTTTTGTCCTTCATGTAGAAAAAAGGAAAAGAAAGAGAGAAAGAGATGGAGAAAGATCTTTTTAATTATTATGCTGAGCATCTTCTTTTAAATCTCAGAAAAATATGATGAGCAATACTTTAAAAAATGCCCAAGTCCTCAAGAATCTCAAGTTCAGTATGGACGACAAACTCATAAATTCACAGGTGATAAACTATACACAATAGTGTTGTAAGTGCTATCCTGAAGTTTATGATACCACAGATAAGAAAACAACCAAATCTCTAGGTGAACTATAAGGCAGTGCAGGGAAAGCAGCTTTTAATATGAATTTGGAACTATCAAAAAGAACACAACAGACAAAGAAAAGGGGAAAAAGAACTGCTAGGCAGAGGCAAAAGAATGGTTCAAAAAGCATGAAAGGATTTGAAAAAGTTCAGCTTGGCTGAGGCATGAAAACTATCATTGAAGATAGAACATGATGAACTGTTCATCACATGACAAAGGATCTGAACATTGGTATGTAGGCAATGAGCAGCCAATACACATGACCACATTTTGAATTTATTGTTTTTTTTTCTTTTTTTTAAAGATAATTGACAGTGGTGCCATGAGCTGAGTGCAGAATGAGCTATGAGAAGAACAAATCAGGGGCAGGAAGTTGGTACTGAGGCTATTTCGGTGGCAAATAATCTAATTCAAAAGCCTCTAGATAGGAAGCAAAAAAGCCATCCTCCATTACTAAGGTAGCAATTTATGAATGATTAGTCATGAATCTGAGAGAGAAAGTTGGAGTTAAGATTTTAGCT